TGGAGAAAATGACACCGTCACAAACGCGACCGTTACCTAGTAGTAGTAGTAGTAGTACTACTACTACTACTACTAATAATTAGTAATAGTAGTAGTAGTAATTGTAGTAATAAACGTAATAATAGTGGTAGGCGGAGTAGTACTCGTAGGAGGAGGAGTTAGAGCATATTCCCCATCATGCCCTGGCTGCCACCGTGGTTGCCGGGCCTCCTTGTCAGGAGTCTTGTCGTCCGAGAAGACTCGAATGAGTCGCCTAAGTCAGCATTCCAAGTCCATGTCTGCTTCTCAGCTTCCATCAAACTTGGGGTCCCTTTAGAAAAACCGCAAACATGGCCCATTTGTTTCAATATACTATACTCTCTACCCCAAACCTGAAAGCACCGTAGTTGGGGAAAGCCAAGGAACCCCCAAAAGGGAGCCCATGATCTTCAGAAGCACGTAGTTGGATTACTGAGCTGCGTGGCTTGGACTGAGCTTTCTCCAACTGAACCAGCTTGTCTTTGATGGACTTGATATCCTCTCTGGCCTCGAGAAAACATGTCAGCGTTTCGGGTTTAGGGGCATGGTTGCTACGTCTTTTCGATGGGTATGTGCCACCATCATTCCTCTTCCGGGTCCTATGATTTACAAGTGGCACCCACTCGAAGGTGACTGAGATCTATGCCCCTAAACTCTAAAACCCTGAACCCTAAACCCTAAGTCCACCACCCCTAAACCCCACCTTACACCCCTAAAGGCTAGCCACGAACCCCAAACCCCTAACTCCTAAATCCCCAAACCCTAAGTCCAACACCCCTTACCCCTACCCTACGCCCCCCAACCCCTACACCTCCAAACTCTAAAGCCCCTAAAGAGGAACATTCTGGAGAGTGCATGGGGTTGATGGAGTGTGATCCTGCTTGTTTGGTTCGGTTGACCGCTCTGCATGAAAGCTTGCAGACAGTCTCACATGTTTTCGTCAGGCATTGGGGATTGTCCGAGTGTGCGCGTGCCTAAAGCCCCTAAAGCTGAAAAACAAAAGGAGTCCTGGCCTGCTCTGCTGCTTCCACCCATTGGGGTGGCAATGGGGCCATCTCCAGTGAAACCTCTCGCCGCTTCAGCGCTTTTTGTTTAGGCTTCAGGGGATTCTGTAGGGATTCTATTGGGCTGATTAAGGATTATGTGGGATTACATACAGGTTTAGGTTCCAGGGCTTTAAATGCCTGAATACTGGAAAGGACGGAAAATTAAATGGAAAACAACATGGAAAATGAAATGGATCCCTGGATGATTATGGAATATAGGGCTCAGGGCCAGGTATGCCACAGTGTTATCCAAAATCATAATTCTAAGACTATGGGAGATGATTGAGCTTTTCTCGGCCTGGGAGTTGAGGGGCTCGAGTTATGGGTTGAGGGTTTGGAGAGCTTGAGGCTAGGGTTTTGGGCTGAGGGTTTGCAGACTACATGCTGCAACGGCCAGGGTTTTTGGTCTAGGGCCTAGGCATTCTAGTCTGCTTGCAATCACAGGACATGAAAACAGGTTTGAGTTGTCAGGGACTAGTGGCTGAGGATGGTGTAGCTTAAGAGTGCAGTGTTTAAGGGTGAGGATCCTAGAGTAAAGGGCATGGAGCTTGAGACAAAAAGGTCTTGAGTTTTGGCATCTGGCTGGAAGAAGTGTCTGGGAGATTGGGACTGTGAGATGTGGAAGAATTGCTGGGTGTAGGGTTTAGGGTTGGAATGCAACAGGATCTTTCAGCCTGCCTGCCAGGTTCCAACATCTCCTTTGGCGTGAAAATGCGCCGCGGTCTTCAGAATAATGACATGTGAGCTATAGTCTCAACTCCTGGTATCCCCCTTAATAACCGCTATCATAGGAACCCTGTAAAATCCCTTATATAACCCCTTCAAGCAATTTAGATTATAGCTCATGTACCTTTCTGGAGGAGTTTGACGGCCAATCATTGCTTTTTCCGGCCATCCCCTCGGTTTCTGTGCTTGAGGGGCGCAGGCGGGTACCATGCGCTGCGACTTTAGGGGGGGATCAAAGCCATGCACGAACCTAAGTAATTGGAGTGCGCTGATTGACACTACAGCATGAACTCAAAGTGATGTTGTTCAAAGTATATTCGCGTGCATGGGCGAAGTGTCGCAGTCTTTTCAGCAAGCACTTAGCAGGATGGCTGCGAGGCTTGCAATTGAAATAGTTGAGCCCACTCCCCTCATTTCGGAGAAGTTAACCGGACACGCTGCGTTGTGCGCAATCGTCTTCTGGCAGGCTGGATACGCACTGCTCTCGGAAACCGCTGAGAAAAGCAACTTTGAAGAGCGGGCCTCTTTTCGACCGCCCTCCACATCCAGCAGGCGATCTACCTGGCACACATCTAGCGAAAAATAGCGAAATGAAGCATCTCGGTTCGATATTCTCAATAACAGCCTGGGATACAAACCATGAAGCGTCCCACGCTCGCTACCCGTAGGTAGCATCACAGAAAACAAGCCCAAACAATGACAAGCAAACAAATCAACAAACGGAAAGAATGGTAGCTGTGTGAACATGTCACATGAAGGGCACTTGAGAGACATGCTACGCGCCAACCCTGAACTTCGAATCCTGCCTGGAGGTTCCGGGTTTTACGGGCTCCCCTCCCACTAACCCTCAAGCATCTTATTTAATTAGGATTAATTTGTGTTATTAAGGGTAATCAAAGCGGAACCGTAAGGAACGCAGACAACTTGGGTGGCCCATGAGGGTCTCTCACTTTAGACTGGGCACTGTCAAAGTATTCACATTACAAATCGTGCTCATTTGTGCAATTGAATCGTACAAGTAGGATCCAGAGCCTAACCCTGAACGGTAATCCATAAACCCCAAAACTTCAAAACTCTCAGGGTACCAACCCTACTTTCAGAAACAGCCCTGATGACTACTAAGGCAATCAGGGAAGCACGACGTCGCCATGCAGTCCACCACCCTCAACTTTGTCAGTTGATGGGCTTTTAGGGTCCAGGACCAATGGTTTGGGGTGTAGGGCTTGGAGTTTAGGGTTCGGTTCAGGGTTTGGAGTTCGGGTCTTCGGGTTTGAGGAGTATGGATACGGAGAAGTTCTCAAAGTTGTGCCCCACTCTGACAAGTACAAAGCTAGCCGTCAAAAGCTAGCTAGTGTGTGACCTTACCAAAGCCTGCGAGCCTGCTTGGGGTAATGACTATGATGATGAGGACTAAATCATTCGGAGCTACGTGCTGGGTCCCTAGCTTGCGACATTGCTCCCATGGCCTCCAACCCTCAATATTGGGATTCCTTTATGGCAGTTTCCTCAAATAGAGGGACCACATTATACCCCCGAAATACTAGTGTCCTTATTATAGGGTAATGGGTACCCCTAATTTTGATAAACCCCACTATAGGCCGGCGGCAGCAGGCTGCTTCTTGTTGCCAAGTTTGGTTTCCGGGGTTTAGGGTTTAGGGACAGCATTCGAATGGAAAGGCGCGACGGCTCGGGTGGGTAATTCATGGAAGCGTAGCTTTCATAGATCTCACAGACTGCTCCCATTGATCTCTGTATCTTGTAGGGATCGTATAGAAAGGCTATGGGATGCTGCACTCAATAGAACTACCCCAAATTTGAATCCCAAGCTCAGAACCTCAAATGTTAAACTTGAAATCTGAACCCAACGGGCTACCATCTATATGCGAAAGGAGTCACAAGTTAACCTTCCCTTTTTCGGTTAAAAACACCACTTGAAATATTCAACACATGACCTCGTACTACTGCACAGGTCTCAGCGCAAAGCTAGCTTCCTCGCCGCCCGACGATCCCGATGTCGCGTGAACAACGGCCTCTGCACAGAAGCTTCTGTAGGGTTTAGGATGTAGGTCGGTGAGACTAGCCTGGGCATTCTAGCGGTTGTCTAGGAATCTAGGGTTACATGTTTAGTGTCTATAGGGTTATTATATAGGACACCCCCCATGATCAAGAATCAAATGAACTACAATCAATGTTTGCCCAGACAACTGGTGGACATGGGTTCCTTATTAGGGAATATACGAGGGGCTCTACTAAACTACAAGAGGGACCCCTATGTCCAACCTCAATAGTCCCTTGGTAGCGCTAATATTGAGAGAAGCTCACATATCAAACAAAATAGAAAATAAACGGAAACTGGGTTGTACAGGGTTTCTAGATAGGGATTGAAATTCCCGTAAGGCTCCATCAACCCTCGACATACTTGCGATTGGTAGCTCCTGGTACCTCACTTACCTGTACTGGCTTCAGGCATACACAAAGACGTACATCTACTATTACTTCTCCATACTGCTACTGTTTCTCATACTGCTATTGATTGCTATGATAACCTCTTTTGCGTGATGCACACCATCCAACACACCCCACCGTTACGTACTACTCAAAATCAGGATCCAACTACATCTCCCCTTCTACGCTGACTCCCCCAAATGACGATTCTGTAGATACCTCTAAGCCCTACATAATCCCTATAATTCCTATAGTTTCCATTTTCTTTTCCATTATCCATATATAACCCCTACCTGAAGACCAACAGCAGAGAACCTTCAAGGTCAACTGGCCAAGCACCCGGCGTAAGGTTGCGAGTAATGGGCGATCTACCATTTACAGCTTTCATCTGTCAAGACGGGGTCCAGACACCTGTTTAAACGACTTTCTTTTTCACTCCAGCTTTTCATAGGACGGAGGACCTGACACTAGCTGGCACTGGGTCAGAGGCTTTGCAGTCGGATGAATGCCTGCCTTTCTGTTGAGCATGGCCATGATTGAGCCACAAGCTGAGCAGATCCGATCGCAAAGTAGCTCCCTGCTCTGTCTCAGCCATACATCAATTAGCAAAAGACTTTCGAGCTTGCTCAACACTAACCCAATACACGTACTCACCACATACCATCTGTCGCAGAGCGGATCCATCACCATCTCCAGATGACCTCTATGGCGGGGCATCTCAAAAAACGAAGATCTTGGGCACCGTTGCATATTTGGGGACTAGGATGATGGGGGTGTGGATGGCAAACCCTGCGCTCGCCGAGCGCAGAATTTTTAAGCAATCCGCTGGATCAGATGAACGCCGCGAGTAGTCGTGATCACCTCGGAGCAACAAGGGCTATATTTGTGTATGTACGTGTGTGTATATATATATATATAGGTATGCTCTGGGGCATCTGCCCGAGATGCTGGAATGATTTCCAGGCGTCGTTACGAAGGGTCCAACTATTTCAGTGAAGGTATGAAGCTCGCATATTTGCCCATACTCATCCTATCACGAACTGTCTGTCGACAGGACCAGGAGAAACCTCAACCATGGACCCTGAACCTAAAAGATCTAAACTGATTCCCAAAACCAAAACCGTAAACGCTGAGCACGGAGCATCACTGAACTCGGCTTTGCGCAACGAGAACCTGGCACGCTGGTGGGTGGTGCTGTAGCATTAAGCATTAGGGCGTTTTTATGGAGCACATAGGGCTATATGGGATGTAGGGGTATGTAGGGGTTTGAAGCTAAAGATATAGTGGATAATCAAGTGGAAGACAAATGGAAATAAAATGGGTCTCTTCTCAGCACTCCTCTCCGCAGGGATGACAGGCGAGTCAGGCGCACAAGTCGGGAACAATAGGGGGGTGAGTCAGGAACAGGCAGGTGGGTTGGTCAGAGAGAACGTGGGGGCGAGTCGAGAATGCACAGGGGGCGAGTCAGGAACAGCAAGAGTTGAAACCAATCCCTTAGTATGTCTGTGCGCGGTTTAGGGTTTAGGGTCCCGTTATAAACCCTAAACACCTAACCCTAGACCTCTAAACCCCTAAACCCGAAACCTCTAAATCCTAGAACCTAAACCGCCTTCGTTTGTTCTGTCTTGTTCCCGACTCTTGCTTCTGACTCGCCCCTTGTGCGCTTCCTGACTGAGGCCCTCGTCCAGGTCTGACTTGCCCCTGCCCTGTTCTCAACTAGTCCGTGTCTGACTCAAGGCATTTGCGGCTGAATCGGCCAACATCCCTCTCCGCAACACACGTGGTGTCCCAAGATTATGGGTACCTTTTCGGGGGTCCTATACTAAGGAATACAGTATTTGGGGGTGTATAGTGGGGTCCCCCCATTTTGGGAAACTGCCACATCCTAACTCCTAAGCCCAAGTTCCTTCTCAAACTCGCCAGTTCTACGCGGCTTGCTCAAAGGCGGGCTCGGACTGGCCCCTGGAGACCTTTCCATTAATACGAGGATTCTTACCCCAACCCGCAGAATGAGGACCTTGTAACAGTACCAAGTATTTGACTGTAATACTTCCTCATTTTGGGGGGCTGGGGTAACGAAAATCCCCTCCTTAGTATCCATAGAAATGCAGTGAGGACATGCGATCTGTGCAAAATGCTGGGATCAAGGCATGGTCAAAAGTCATGACTGTTATTGCTAGGATTCCATCTTTACTATTCTTTGTCTGGGTTTAGGTCCAGAAATATGGGGCCCACCATAGAGACCAATATACTAGAATCCTATCTATGAATCATCCAGACAGGACCACTATTTTTTGGAAACCCATCATGAACCATTATTTGTGCGAACAGAGGCAAGGTGAAACGGCTTCCTCTTGGTCGCGTGCCCAGCCCAAGTCACCACATAGCTGGCCCGCATTGTCTGCCGACGAGCATTCTGAGCGCTGCTGACACAATTTTCGGAAAGCAGTACTCCTGCACCAGTGGTGTGCGGTAAAAAATGCACTGGGAATAAAAGCTGCTCCAGCAACAATAGTAACAACAGCAATAGAACAAATAAAATATTGCATGGGCATGTGGGCAGACCTGCCCCCCTACAAGTCCAAAATCCCAAGCTCAAAAAAGCTCCCGAATGTTGAACAACGCTTAAATTCAATTTCCAAGCCTGTAACCCCGAACGCTGAAATCCCACGTCTCGAACCTTCAACCTTTAGATGCGCAACACCCACCGCCCTTTATTTGGAGGTTCTGTTCACTGACGACTACTTGCTGTCCCCAATAGCCCCTACTATCCGCCCATAACCACCCTTTACTAAGTAGACTCCCTAAGCCAAGAGAGCCTCCAAGAAATTTGGGAGGTCTCTGAACCCCAAATTATACAGCAGTTTCCATGCTCTTTTCCATTTGCCTTTATGATTCCCTATATAACGTCTGTATACCCCCCATATGAAACCATAACCCTAAACACCCTAAACCCTAGACCCCAAACCCTGAACTTTGGCCCACATGACTCCTACATATCCCAATGCGGCCTTCAAGTACCCCTGGTCCTGTGTACGTCTGGGTCGGCTCCAGGGGTCTCCCCATCTGCAGTGAGTAGGCTACGCAGAACAGCCTCGATGCTTGAAGGTTCGGGACTTTGCGTAGGTTTAGGCGGGCTTTGCGGGGGTTGAGGTTCAAGGTTGAAGGGTTTGGGGGGTTGTGGGTTTAGAGATGGCAGGACTTGAGGGGTCAGGGGCCAGGGTGTGGGGATTTGTGTAGAGCGAGTAGGGTTAAGCAGTCCCGGTCTAAAGGTTTTTGGGGGCAAAGGCTTGGAGTCTAGCTTTGGCACTTCATGATTCAGGGATTGTGGTTTATGGGGCTTAAGGGCTTAAGATGGTTTAAGGGCTTGGAGATTCAGGTTTTGGTTTCAGGGGGTTTAGAGGCTTTGTCTTTACGGGTTTGGTCTCAATGTCTTGGATTTGAAGGCTACAAGGTTTCGGAGTTCAGGTCAAGCTTTAGGATTTAGGGGCAAGCGGTTGGGGCATGAAGGACGTCTCAGACATGCGGTGACGTTCCACAGTAGATGGGGTTGTCAACAGAAATTAGTGTCCGTTTCTGCCCCAGTAGTCAGGACTGAACTATCTTGGATTATCATCTAAACTCCTAGTATCTCCCTTAATCACCCATATAGTAGTCCCTTATATAATCCCCTATAACTCCTCTTATTTGTAATGCTCAGAACCATCGAACCAATCATGGGATAGGCTGAGACATGACTAGTGACCGTGATCTTGCCACAGCAATAATGGAGAATCAAATGGAAAAGAAAATGGAAAATGAAATGGAAACTGGGATTATAGGGTAGTTTATAGGGGTTAGGGTTTCTCGTGAGCTATAGGGACACAAGTTCATCAAAGCAACAATCACGAGCAATCACCCCCTCCTACGACTAAACACCCTCCCGCACCCCCTAAGAGCAAAAACTCCCTCCAAAAACTCCTTTCGTACACAGGGAAGCTAAAACTTAGGGAAAGGACTACAAGAGCCATTGTCTAAACTCCTAGTATCTCCCTTAATAACCCATATAGTAGTCCCTTATATAATCCCCTATATAACCCCCTTTAAGGAGTTTAGACTATAGCTCACAAGAAACCCTAACCCCTATAAACTACCCTATAATCCCAG